TAATCATCAGATAAAGGAAGGATGAACAAATCACATCCAGCCAAATTCTCTCCAGACATTGACTGACACCATTCCTGTTAGGTTTGTCACAGGTGGTTTCCTAACGTTTGACCGGCCAACTTTATATCTAAATATTTTCTATAATCAAAAGACATCCTTATGAGTCAGTCCCTCTTTGTGCTGTTTTAGCTGGCCCGGTTTTCTTTTAATTTTCATTCCAGAAAGGCTGATCATAATAGCGGTGGGTGGCGTAACACAAGACTGTTAATCCTCAAATCTCAAATAGTGGATAAAACAGAGTGTTGGTATCTAAGGGAGCATGAACGTCTAAAGCAGGGGTTTTCAAACTTGGCCCTTTTATGACTTGTGGACTTCAACTCCCAGAATTCCTCAGCCAGGCACGCTGGGACTGGAGGCTAAAACATATAAGGAACGATTGCTGGAATTGGGTATGTCCAGTTTAATGAAGAGAAGGACGAGGGGTGACATGATAGCATGTTCCAATATCTCAGGGACTGCCACAAAGAAGAGGGAGTCAAGCTATTCTCCAAATGAAAGGCTCCAGAGGGTATAAAAACCCACTCCCTACATGTGCTCTTTCTTTTCTTCCAGACGATTCTTTCTGTCTGGCTCTCCTCTTCAATAAATTGCAACCTTCTTTCTAAAGCAGTCACCATGTTGTTTATTCCCGGCTTGGACTGAACCCTGATGAAGACTTTCCCCTCAACATGCTAAAACTTTGCCTTTTACTGTGTCCCAGCTCCTTCCCAAATCAAGAAATCTCTTCCTCAACCAGCACAGTTTGCACATACATTTTGGTGCTTGGAGAATTTATTTATTTGTGTTTTTTTCTAAACTGCCCTTCTCTCTCATGTCTTGTTCCTAGAGATAAACCAATCAGATGCATTGGAAAATAATATTTTTTTTCTGGTTTGGATGATTTTGCTGAAGCCTCTCCATTCATTAGCAGAGAAAGGACAAAGAGTTCCCTTTGCTTTTGCAGCAAGAAGTCAAAAAAACGGTAGCAAATTGTGCTACACGCTGTGAGTTTACACAACTGAAGACCCACCTGGAGTTTGCTGCTGTCATCGGTAGTTGTACTGAGTGCCCTGTGGGGAGAAGTGGACCTTTCCTATACATCACAGCCAGCCGTTTCCCCTTGTGAAAAGGATTGCACTTTTTTGAGGCTTCCTTTGTGGTTGCTGGTTTGTAACCCAAACTGGAAGAGTCTTTCCTTAAAAAAACTGGCTGTTTTCAAGAAATTCCTGCTTTTTCTTTTTTCCCTAGTGGCTTTTTATTTTGGAAAAAAAAAAGTGATTGCAGTGTGGAACTGTGGAACTGAAACTCTAGAAAGTGCAAAAAAGTGGGAGGGCAAGATTTTCCCATTTCCATCCTTAAAACTGCTCCAATTATCCAAATCACGATTTGGCGGGGGGGAGGCACGGTGGGCCCATTCCACCCCTAATTTGGAAAACTAAAGCCAGATCAATTGAAGCAATTGTTAACACTCGACGGGGCTGCACAGTTTCCACCCTTGGCTGGGTCAAATCTAGACAGCGTACTAAAAAGCAGAGACGCCCCCTGCCAACAAAAGTGCGCATAGTCAAGGCCATGGTTTCCCCAGTTGCAATGTATAGCTGTGAAAGTTGGACCATAAGAAAGGCTGAACGCTAAAGAATGGAGGCCTTTGAACTCTAGTGCTGGAGAAGACTCCTGCGAGTCCCCTGGACTGCAAGGCGATCCAACCGGTCAGTCCTGGAGGAGATCAACCCCGATTGCTCTTGAGAATGCCAGATCCTGAAGTTGAAACTCAAGTACTTTGGCCACCTAATGAGAAGGAAAGACCTTTGGGATAACTATGACCTGGATGATTGAGAATCTCCAAACCAGTGGGAATGCACGGCTGTGGTTGCCTATTAGTTGTGAGATTGGGTTCTTTCGTTATTGTGAATGCTTTTATTTGCAACTCACAGGTTCATAGGAATATTTCTATTTTTTTTAAAGTATTAATGCCACTTTACAAGGCCTTGGTAAGGCCACACTTGGAATACGGCATCCAGTTTTAGTCACTGCGATGTAAAAAAGATGCTGAGACTCTGGAAAGAGTGCAGAGAAGAGCAACAAAGATGATCAGGGGACTGGAGGCTAAAGCATACAAGGAACGATTGCTGGAATTGGCTATGTCTAGTTTAGTGAAGAGAAAGACGGGGGGGGGGACATGATAGCAGTGTTCCAATATCTCAGGAGCTGCCCCAAAGAAGAGGGAGTCAAGCTATTCTCCAAAGTGCCTGAAGGTAGGACAAGAAGCAACGGATGGAAACTAATCAAGGAGAAACTTCCTGACAGTGAGGACAATTAACCAGTGGAACAACCTGCCTCCAGAAGCAGTGAATGCTCCAACACTGGAAGTTTTTAAGAAGTGGACAGCCATTTGTCTGAAATGGTATAGGGTTTCCTGCCTGAGCAAGGGGTTGGACTTGATGACCTCCAAGGTCCCTTCTAACTTTATTATTATTATTATTATTGTTGTTGTTGTTGTTGTTGTTGTTGTTGTCAGCATTGACCCTCAACCATCCCGTGCAACCCCCCACACACCAGTTCACCTCCCAATGACCCTCACCTGATGTAATTTCCCCATCACAAGACCCATCACTGATGACTCATCCCTGACCCATCACAAGACCCTCACTCGACACATCCACACCTGAGCCTTGATAAACAAAAGAACATGGACACTGACACCGTCCCCCAAACTCCGCTGAAGAGGTCACTTAGCCCGGACACCAACCCACAAGCTCGGAGAAGGAACCTCCACCCTCAAAATTAATTAGATCATTTTTTTTAATCCTGAGTATATATCGCGCAACTCTATGCCACTCAGGATTGGCAAACTGGAGGGCAGCCTTTAAACCCTGTATATGAATAAGTAGATGAATAAATGCAGCTACAAAGAGGAATGATGAAGAAAAGGTGGAATAGTATAACTTTATATTTATTGCCCAATGTATCTCTCACATAAGGCCAACGGTGTTCATTAAACACCACCGAGGAGCCTCGTAAACCTGAAAAATTAGCTTTATTTTAAGATCACAACAAACATCGTAAATGTTTTTTAAGGATCGACACCCTGAATGTTGCCCTATCGGAAACGCCAAGTTTCTATTTCAACATTCTATTTATTGTCCATATTTCTTCTACTTTTACGGCCAGTAAAAGTAAATGGTTGGTTTTACCTCTTAACCCCCCCCCCCCACACACACAAAAAGACTTTTATTCAAAGCTACAGGGGTTTCCAAGGCAGTGAAATGTCTGCTGAAAAGAAACAGCATAGTAAAATGCTTTTCAGCTGAAGGTAGCATCATTCAATTATTTTTGACAGAATAAATGCCTTTGTAACAGGGTGAAATTTCTATTTTTTGTTTTTTTTTGCTCTGAAAGTCACTTAGATCTATTTCTCTTCGAAACTCGGAATAGTTTTATGTTTCTATAAGCTTCAGGTTTTATAGTGTCTCTTTATTTCTTCCCAGCCCTCTCAAGGGTGATTTTTCACCCAGGTCAAACATACCGAAGCAGATTTTGCCACAGAGAAAGAAGGATTTGCAAAAAAAATCCATTTGTTGCATTGTGCACACGTCTGCCGTAATTCTGGGTTCTTCCTTGTGAATTTTTGTATTCTAAAAATGTAATTAATTTACTAACCTTTCTATCAAAGGCAACCACCTTTGGCTAGAAACAGAAAGAAATGCTACGTTACGTTTGGGGTTGGGGGAAGTAGAAAGGTTTATGATTATAGAAATGTTGAATTTTAGATCAAAAGGCATTTTGTATTTGTAACTGTATGGGAGAAAGTTGGAACCTTCCTTCCTTCCTTCCTTCCTTCCTTCCTTCCTTCCTTCCTTCCTTCCTTCTTCTCATCTACTGTTCTTTATTCCCTTCTCCTCTGTTCTTTACCCTCCCTCCCTTCTTCTCCTGTTCTTTATTTCTCCTTCCTTCCTTTCTCCTTTGTTCATTACCCTTCCTTCCTTCCTTCCTTCCTTCCTTCCTTCCTTCCTTCCTTCCTTCCTTCTTTCTTCCTTCCTCTCTTCTACTCTCTTTATTCCTCCTTCCTTTCTCCTGTTGTTTCCCTTCCCTCCCTCCCTTCTTCTCCTGTTCTTTATTCCTCCTTTCTTCCTTCCTTTCTCCTTCCTTCCTTCTTCTCTGTTCTTTATTCCTCCTTCCTTTCTCCTCTGTTCTTTCCCCTCCCTCCCTCTTCTTCCTTCCTTCTTCTCTTCTTCTGTTCTTTATTCCTCTTTCCTTTCTCCTTTGTTCTTTACCCTTCCCTCCTTCCTTCCTTCTTTCTTCCTTCCTCTCTTCTACTCTCTTTATTCCTTCTTCCTATCTCTTCTGTTGATTTCCTTCCCTCCCTCCCTTCTTCTTCTGTTCTTTATTCCTCCTTCTTTCATTTCTCCTTTGTTCTTTACCCCTCCTTCCTTCCTTCCTTCTTCTGTTCTTTATTCCTCCTTCCTTTCTCCGTTCTTCCTCTCTCCCTCTCCTTCCTTCCTTCCTTCCTTCCTTCCTTCCTTCCTTCCTTCCTTCCTTCCTTCCTTCCTTCCTTCCTTCCTTCCCTCCTTCCCTTCCCTTCCCTTCCCTTCCCTTCCCTTCCTTCTTCTGCTTCTTTTCTTTTCTGTTCTTTTCTTTCTTTTCTCTTTTCCTCCGCCTTCCCTTCCCTATCTTCCCCCCCCCCCTTCTTAATCATTCTTTTCCCTCGGCTGGCTTTGATCGGCTCCGGGACGTTTCCATCAAGCGCCCTGGCCGTCTCCGCGCCCCAGCGCAAAGCGCGCAAAGCGCAGCGCAGCCGGCGCCAAGCGCAGCCTTCCCTCGCTCCGGGCTGGCGGCCCCGCGGGCGGCGCCCGGGGGGGGGAGGCGGAGCCGCCCGGGGGGGCCAAGCCCCCCCCCGGGGCCCGAGCTGATAAAGGGCCGGGCGGGGCGCGGCGGCCGCTCAGCCTGGGGAGCGCAGCGGGTCCGCGGCAGCGCTTGGAGATGCGGCGCGCCAGCCGAGACTACTCCAAGTACTTGCGCGGCGCCGAGGAGCTGGGCGCCGGCGCCGAGGGCGGCTCCACTCCGCCGCCCTCCTCGCAGCCGGCCGGGGGGGCGTCCGCCCCGTCCGGCTCCCCGTCCGCCTCCAGAGCCCTCCTGGCCGCCCTGGTCCTGCTGGGGCTCGGCCAGGTGATCTGCAGCCTGGCGCTCTTCCTCTACTTCAAAGCGCAGGTGAGGCGCCGGGAGGGGGGTCTCCATCCCTCGCTGTCCTGGAAAGGTTTGGGGTGGGGGTGGGGGGTGGGGGGCGCAGAGAGGGACCGGGGGGGGGTCTCCATCCCTTTGCGCGTCCCTTGGTGGATCTCATCTGGAAGATCCCGCCGCCACTCCCCCCCCCCCCCCCATTCCCGAGATCTGTTAAAATCAGGTCGAACGAAAGCAAGAGAGCCTCCGGTCGGTCGGGCTGGCCAAACTTCGCGTCTTGTTTTTTGCCAAGTTCTTTCCTGGGCGGGCGGGTTTCGCGCCTGGTTTCGCCAAGTTCTTTCCGTGGCTCGCAAATTTCGCGTCTGGCTTTGCCAAGTTCTTTCCTTGGTGTGCGGGTTTCGCGCTTCGGGTAATAGTAATAGTAGTAAAGTGGGAAGGGACCTTGGAGGTTATTTAGTCCAACCCCCTGCTCAGGCAGGAAACCCTACACCATTTCGGACAAATGGCTGTCCAGTCTCTTCTTAAAAACTTCCAGTGTTGGGGCATTTACTGCTTCTGGAGGAAGGCTGTCCCTACGTTCTTTCCTTCGCCGGCGGGTTTCGCCTCTGTTTTGCTCGGCTTGCAAAGATTTCGCTCGCAAAGTTGGGCGAAGTTCTTTCTTTGGCTGGTGGGTTTCGCCTCTGGTTTCGCGAAGGTCTTTCCTTGGCCTGCAAATTTCGCGTCTGGCTTTGCGAAGTTCTTTCCTGGGCGTGCGGGTTTCGCGCCTCGGGTTTCCGCAACGTTCTTTCTTTGGCCGGCGGGTTTCGCCTCTGTTTTGCGAAGTTCTTTTCCTCGGCTTGCAAAGATTTCGCTTGCAAAAGCTTTGCGAAGTTCTTTCCTTGGCTGGTGGGTTTCGCGCCTGGTTTCGCGAAGTTCTTTTCTTGGCTTGCGGGTTTCGCCTCTGTTTTGCGAAGTCCTTTCCTTGGCTTGCAAAGATGTTGCGTCTGTTTGGGGCCAGATGGGTGCTCTGCAATTTGGGCCAGGCGGTCGTTGTTTCTTGACTCTTTCAGGGTCCCCCGCTTGTTTCCGATCCACCAGCCAAGGTGGGGTGTCCTTAGGGTGGCCAAGCCCTGGGGGTGCCTGCAGGGCCGGGGGGGGGTGCGTGTTAAGAGACCAATGGGGGACCAATGAACCAGGGGAATGAGAGATACTACTAGTTGGCCAAGTTGGGGTGGCATTCCCTGGCAATGTTTCCTTCAACCTTGGCTGCTTTCTTTCGGATGCCAACATGATGTCGAGGGGCAGGCACTCCCCCCCCCCCATGGAAAGCTAGAGTTAGAGCCAGCTTAGTGAACTGGGGCCCCCACCCTCAAGTTGGGAGGACATTGGAAAGGGAAAAACGTTGAAGTTCAGACTGGATGAAGCTGCAGGCCTGGGCACCGTGAAATGGGCTGAAGTGTGCCTGTGACAGCGGGGTGATTGGACTGGGGGGGGGTTTCTTGGGGTCTTGGCCAACTGGGTGTCGATATTGGCCGGATTTGTGAGGTGTGAATAGTTTCTGCTCTGCTTGAAATCAAGGTCAAAGTGGGGATATTTGCACCATGCAGAGTTAAGAAGGTAAAAGTCCTGTGTCTTCCTCTTTCCCTCCTCCCTCTCCCCCTCTCCTTCTCCCTCCCTCCCACCCTCCCTCCCACCCTCCCTCTCTCCTTCTCAGTCTCTCCCTTCCCCTCTCCCTCCCACCCTCCCTCTCCCTTCCCCTCTCTTCCTCTTCCCCTCTCCCTTTCTCCCTCTCCTCCCTCTCCCTCCCACCCTCTCTCTTACCTTCTCCCTCCCACCCTCTCTCTTACCTTCTCCCTCTCTCCCTTCCCCTCTCCCTCCCTCCCACCCTCCCTCTCCCTTCTCCCTCTTTCTCCCTCTCCCTTCCCCTCTCCCTCCCTCCCACCTTCCCTCTCCCTTACCTTCTCTCTCTCTTCCTCCTTCTCCCTCTCTTCCTCTCCCCCTTCCTCCCTCTTGCTCTACCCCTCCCTCTCTTCCTCTCTTCCTCTCTCCCCTCCCTTCTCTCTCTCTCTTCCCTCCCCTCTCTCTCTCCCTCCCCCTCTCTCTCCTCTCCTTTCCTCTCCCTTACCTTCTTTCCCTCCCTCTCCCTCTCTTCCTCTCCCTCTTCCTCCCTCTCTCTTACCTTCTCCCTCTCTCCCTTCCCCTCTCCCTCCCACCCTCCCTCTCCCTTACCTTCTCCCTCTGTTCCTCCTTCTCCCTCTCTTCCTCTCCCCCTTCCTCCCTCTTGCTCTACCCCTCCCTCTCTTCCTCTCTTCCTCTCTCCCCTCCCTTCTCTCTCTCTCTTCCCTCCCCTCTCTCTCTCCCTCTCTCTCCTCTCCTTCCCTCTCCCTTACCTTGTTTCCCTCCCTCTTCCTCTCCCTCTTCCTCACTCTCTCCCTTCCTCCCTCTCTCTCCTCTCCTTCCCTCTCCCTCTTTCCCTCCCTCTCCCTCTCTTCCTCTCCCCCTTCCTCCCTCTCTCTCTCTCTCTCTCTCTCTCTCTCGTCTCCTTCCCTCTCCCTTACCTTCTTTCCCTCCCTCTCTTCCTCTCCCTCTTCCTCCCTCTCTCCCTTCCTCCCTCCCTGTCTCCTCTCCTTCCCTCTCCCTCTTTCCCTCCCTCTCCCTCTCTTCCTCTCCCCCTTCCTCTCTCTCTCTCTCTCTCGTCTCCTTCCCTCTCCCTTACCTTCTTTCCCTCCCTCTCTTCCTCTCCCTCCCTCTCTCCCTCCCTCCCTCCCTCTCCTCTCCTTCCCTCTCCCTCTCTCCCTCCCTCTCCCTCTCTTCCTCTCCCCCTTCCTCCCTCTCTCTCTCCCCCTTCCTGTCTCTCCTCTCCTTCCCTCTTCCCCTCCCTCTCTCCCTCTCTTCCTCTCCCTCTCCTCCCCTCTCCCTTACCCTCTTCCTCTTTCCCTCCCTCTCCCTCTCTTTCTCTCCCCCTTCCTCCCTCTCACTCTGCCCTTCCCTCCCTCCCTCACTCTCTCTTCCTCTCTCCCTTCCCCTCTCCATCCCTCCCCCTCTCTCTGTCCCTCTCCCTCCAGCCCCCTCCTTTTCTCTCGCTCTGCCCCTCCCTCCCTCTTCCTCTTCCTCAATCTCAGTCTCTTCCTCTCTCTCTCTCTCTTTAAGGCAGATCAGTTTTATATCTCGATTAGAAAGTTTGGCTTGCCCAATGCCATCAGAAAGAACGGATTTCAAGGCAGCCGGCAACGGTGAAGAGAGTCTGAAGGAATCCTGGATAACTGGATGCTTGTTTAGGGAGGCGGAAAAAGAGCTGATGCATGTCAGACTGCAGTTCTGGAGGGCAAGCCAAAAGTGTGGGAGTTCTCAGAAGCAAAGCCGCATTCCCCCCTCCCTGGGATTTTAAAGATGGGGAGGGGGACATTCTCCCCACCCAGGGCAAGATCTCATTCTGGTCAGGGCTTCCAAGCCAACGATTGTCATCACCAACTCCAACAAAGCTTGTCCAGTGTGGTTGAGATGCCTGATAGTTTAGTTATTCACACATTGTTCCCCAAGCGACCGAAAGCCCGTTTCTCGTATTTTTGTATTTTCAATGGCTTTTCAAAGACGTTTTTTGCAGCCTGCTCATCCCTACTCTGAGAAAGGGACAAATTTATCCTTGGGTCCACGTTCCGGGGGGGTTTATTTGCTGAAGAGCAGAAGATGTGATTGGGAGACCGAGAGACACACACATTCTCTGGTGGAAACGGCTGACTTGTTAGGACTGGCGTCTGTTCAAAGTTTATTTTTTTCTTCTCCCCCCTAAATTTGGCCAAAGGATAAAATAATGTTTCTTTTCTTTGTCGGGGGGATTTGAGAAATGCCTTAATCTCTCATTTGGGGAAAAGCAGGCCCCACGTTAGCAAACGAAGAGGGCTTTTATTGTGGGCAGCACAATATATGCTAGATTTGAATTGTTAGGGGGGAGAGAATTGGGGGGAAGAATCTCCAATGCGGTTTAGATTTGGGGTTACAAAAAGGCCCTGCTTTTTTTTTTTTCTTGGAAATTACCGTTAACATTGGTTGAGATGGCTCTCTTGGCTTTTCAGCTTTCCTTTTCAAACAAAAAAAATCCCCCAAACTTTAAAAGGAAGTTAAAAGTTGAAGTTTGCTGAGGTTTCCCCCCCCCCCTTGCTGCAGAAAGCCGTTCTGAGATTAGATTTTCTCTTTTTCAGATATTTTTTGAGAAAGAAAGGAAAAGTTTCTTGGTTAGGCAAGCATTTGTGTGTTGCAGACCTTCAGCTCCCTCCCAGCTCTATTATTCTGTCCTTCTGTTACCCTGATTAGGATTTCCTCCCCTGGCGTGATCAATAGCACCAGAGCATGTAAAGATTCTATCCAAGGGACTATTTTCGAGTTTAAAATTAATCTGGAAAAAAAATAATAATGCCATTTTTAAGTGCCGTTTTGCATGCCTAAATAAAAAAAAAAAACCACTCTTCAAAATTCTCTTGCTTTCTCCCCCCCCCCCGGAAAAGAGGATTTATTTCATTTTGCGTTATTGTAACACTGTGGATGGTTCTTTCCCCCCCCCCCCATTCTTCTCTTTTTACTGTGCTAGCCTCAAAAAAGCGAACGTAGTTCCGTTCTGTGTATTTATGGCAGGGCTAAAGGCAGGGGGGTATTTTGTACAGACCTGGTTGACCCATCTCGTCAAAAGGAGGAACTGAAAATTAAAAGGTGCAGAATCTGGTTGATGCGTTAACACGGCATCCAGCTGTGTGTTTTTACTTTTCCCAGTGAAAGTAAGATGCAGAAATTCCTGCAGTGGAGGCCAACACAGTGCTAGGCTGCATGAACAAAGGGATAGAATTGAGATCAGCTGAAGGGTTAATATCACTTTACAAGGCCTTGGTAAGGCCACACTTGGAATACGGCATCCAGTTTTGGTCCCCACGATGTAAAAAAGACTCTAGAAAGAGTGCAGAGAAGAGCAACAAAGATGATTAGGGGACTGGAGGCTAAAACGTATAAGGAACGGTTGCTGGAATTGTGCATGTCTAGTTTAATGAAGAGAAGGATGAGGGGTGACATGATAGCAGGGTTCCAGTATCTCAGGGGCTTCCCCAAAGAAGAGGGAGTCAAGCTGTTCTCCAAAGCACCCGAAGGCAGGACAAGAAGCAACAGATGGAAACTAATCAAGGAGAGAAGCAACCTAGAACTAAGGAGAAACTTCCTGACTGTTAGAACAATTAATCAGTAGAACAACTTGCCTCCAGAAGCAGTGAATGCTCCAACACTGGAAGTTTTAAAGAAGAGACTGGACAGCCATTTGTCCGAAATGCTATAGGGTTTCCTGCCTGAGCAGGGGGTTGGACTAGCTGACCTCCAAGGTCCCTTCCAACTTTATTTATCCTCTAGGTGCTTCCATCTGCTAGGATCCTTGAATACTAACAATATTTAAATCCACATGGGATGACCCCTATCCATCACATCTGGCAAAATTAAGCTCTTCCATTTTGAATGTTGAACTTTTTGCTGGATTCGAGTTCACTGATAAACTGTCTAGACAAAAGCAAGTATACTTGTGGGCTTGGGTTTTACCACAGCCGTCTCACTTCTTGGAAAGTTGTGTGTTCTCCATGTGAACAAGCCAAATATTCCTTGCTGGACTTAAAAAAAAAAAATCAGCCACATTCAGTTCTTTCTTTTTCGAAACGTTGGATAATTTTTTTCGGTGTCTTTCCAGTTTCCTTTGGTTTGTCTGCAATTTCAGAGAGGCAATTTATGCGCTAAGAAATATATCTACGTAACCCAAATCATCTCCCCGGTCTTCTTCTATAGCATGGCGACCCATAATATGGCTTAAATTGGCATCAGATAACCTACCAGTCTGGTAACTTTAACTCTGCAGCAGATAGCCAGGTAGTAAATATTGAATATTGAGTTGAAAATGTGGTTGTGATCACTTAACGGTGTGGAGACAAGAAACTTGTCTGCCTGGAGATTATAAAAAGAAGGTCTAGGGGTGACGTGATAGCAGTCTTCCAATATTTGAGGGGCTGCCACAAAGAAGAGGGGGGGGGGGTCCAACTTAATTCCCAAAGCACCAGAAGGCAGGACAAGAAACAACGGATGGAAACTAATCAAGGAGCGAAGCAACTTAGAACTAAGGAGAAACTTCCTGACAGTGAGAACAATTAACTAATGGAACAACCTGCCTCCAGAAGTGGTGAATGCTCCAACACTGGAAGTTTTTAAGAAGAGACTGGACAGCCATTTGTCCGAAATGGTGTAGGATTTCCTGCCTGAGCAGGGGGCTGGACTCGATGACCTCCAAGGTCCCTTCCGACTCCGTTATTCCATTATTCCGTAAGCTTCCTTTCCCCCCTCTTCCTATCAATTTCTCTCCTCTTAACTTGGAACCAAGCTTTGCTTCAGGCTGGAATTTTGCTCAGCCACAGAATGAAGGAGGCATTCCTGGTGATGTGGTGAAAGGATTCCCCAGGATTTTCCGAGAAGTTGTATGACACGCTTTGCTCGAAATCTCCTCATTTTGTTATTTTCTCCTTCCCTTCATTGGCATCAACTCCACCAGTGGGTTTCCCCCCCCCTTTCTTTGAAGGAATGAGAATACAGTGAACAGAGGGGTAAGTGTGTTGAAGCAGAACCAAGAAAGGGGAATGTCTTTCTTTATTTATAAATATGTGGTCTTAGAAGCGACCTATTTATTGCTGTAGAAACAGTTGTGGATCTCAGGGGCTTTAGGCCCTGTTGGAATTCTCCCTGTCCAGTGTCACTAGTGGTTTTTTCCATTTTCTTAAGCTTTATTTTTCTAACAATGGTTTTGTAAGGCGTGGCTTGATTTGGCCACTGCAAGTCGGAATCCCTCATCTAGAGCTCTCCTTTAATATCTAGGGGGCTGCCACAAAGAAGGGGGGGGGGTTGTCAAGCTATTCTCCAAAGCGCCTCAAGGCAGGACAAGAAGCAACGGGTGGAAACTCATCAAGGAGAGAAGCAACTTAGAACTAAGGAGAAACTTCCTGACAGGGAGGACAATTAACCAGTGGAACAACCTGCCTCCAGTAGATGTGGGTGCTTTTAAGAAGAGACTGAAGAGATTGCTTGACTGAAATCTTATAGAGTTTCCTCCTTGAGCAGGGGGTTGGACTAGATGACCTCCAGGGTCCCTTCCAACTCGGTTGTTCTGTTATTCTGTCTCTTCACCACTGCTTCCTTTTTCCTTCTCATCCTCTGTCTCATTCTATCTCATAAGCTCAAAAGTGGGGATGATCTCCTTTCTTCTTTTCCTTCCTTCCTTCCTTCCTTCCTTCCTTCCTTCCTTCCTTCCTTCCTTCCTCCCTCCCTCCCTCCTTCCCTCCTATTCCTTTTCCTCCCTCCCTCCTTCCCTTCTATTCCTTTTCCTCCCTCCTCCCTCCTATTCCTTTTCCTTCCTTCCTTCCTTCCTTCCTTCCTTCCTTCCTTCCTTCCTTCCTTCCTTTTCTTCTCCTCTGTTCTTTATTCCTCCTTCCTCCCTCCCTCCCTCCTATTCCTATTCCTTCCTTCCTCCTTCCCTTCCTATTCTTCTTCCTTCCTTCCTTCCTCCCTCCCTCCCTTCATTTCTTCTCCTCTGTTCTTTATTCCTCCTTCCTTCCTCCCACCCTCTCTCCCTCCTATTCCTTTTCCTCCCTCCCTCCCTCCTATTCCTTTTCCTTCCTTCCTTCCTCCCTCCCTCCCTCCCTCCCTTCCTCCCTCCCTCCTTCCTTCCTATTCCTTTTCCTTCCTTCCTTCCTCCCTTCCCTTCCCTCCCTCCCTCCATTCCTGCCCTCCTGCCAGTTATAAATGCGACCATTCAATCAACAAAGACATCTACCTAAAGCTTTGCACCGCTCTTACTTTGGACCCCAATCTTACGAGAGACCGGCCAGCAAAATCAAACTTGAAATACCTCCCAGCTTCTGTTCCTTCGCGTGGCCTTTTCCTCAAATGTAAGAAGCCCCAGTGTGGCTGAATCTCGTCTCCCTCGCGAACGAAAAAGAAACACCTTAGACGATTTCAGGTGGGATGGAGCCCCACTCTTCCTAATCCTGGTTCTCTGGAACATTTGATCGGTTAGAAAAGTAGTTCTGGTACAAAACACTTCCAGGGTTCGTCTTTCTTTAGATTGGTGTTTCTCAACCTTGGCCATTTTAAGGCATGTGGACTTCAACTCCCAGAATTCCACAGCCAGCAATGCTGGCTGTGGAATTCTGGGAGTTGAAGTCCACATGCCTTAAAATGGTCAAGGTTGAGAAACACTGCTTTAGATGTTGGAAAGAGACAAATTTGGAGCTAGCGCTGTCAACAGCTGCTGATGGTCAGGCAGGAAAAAATCTGGTAACATCTGGTCCAATGATGATTTATTTATAAACAGCCCAAGTACAGGAATCTTCAGTTAATGGTTAGCCCCTGGTTGGAGTTAGATAAGGGTCAATGGCTTTCAAGAGGAGTTAGATCACTCGCAGCTACGTAGAGATTCTAGGCTGATCCCTCTTTTGGCGCCACCTCAAGTTCTGCTGCTGCTTCTCCTACACCAATGGTTCTCAACCTTCCTAATGCCGCGAGCCTTTAATACAGTTCCTCATGTTGTGGTGACCCCCAACCATAAAATTATTCTCGTTGCTACTTCATAACTATCATTTTGCTAGTGTTAGGAATCGTGATGTAAATATCTGATATGCAGGATCAGATTCTAGAATAGACTCAACCTGGACCTTATCATGGTTAATAATTCTGAAAGAGAGATTTGAGGTTTTGGTTTTTTCCTGGACTAGTGTCTGTCTGGATCTTTGGGGTTCGACAAGCATGACTTGAAAGCACTTAGCTCTTTTTGAATAATTTGTTCCAGATGGACCCTCACCGAATGTCCGAAGAGGATACTAACTGTTTACGATCCTTCCTGAGACTTCAAGGGAATGTAGATCTGCCAGAAACCACCTTGGCCAACCAAGAATCAAGGCTGCTGTCTGAATCGTGTCGAAGGATGAAGCAGGCTTTTCAGAGAATAATGCAAAAGGTCAGTCTACCTCAGAGATGCAACAAGGTGGGAAGTTTAGATAAATTTCAGGGTTACCTTAGACCAGGGGTCTTCCTACTTGGCCCTTTTACGACTTGTGGACTTCAACTTCCAGAATTCCTCAGACATGGCATGTTGGCTGAGGAATTCTGGGAGTTGAAGTCCACAAGTCATCAAAGGGTCATAGTTCCTTCATGCTGGCTGAGGAATTCTGGGAGTTGAAGTCCACAAGTCATAAAAGAGTCATAGTTCCCTCACGCTGGCTGAGGAATTCTGGGAGTTGAAGGCCACAAGTCATAAAAGAGCCAAGTTTGAAGACCCCTGTCCTAAAGTTTCATGTGGGTGGTAGATAGCATGGTGAGAGGCCCAAGACTTCGTGTTAAAGAAAAAGCACTCCATACATTCGACGATTTTAAACTGGAACAACTTGCTTCCAGAAGTTGTGAATGCTTCAATACTGGACATTTTTCAGAAGAGATTGGACAACCATTTGTCTGAAATGGTAGAGGGTCTCTTGCTTGAACAGGGGGTTGGACTAGAAGACCTCCAAGGTCCCTTCCAACTCTGTTATTCTGTCCTGTCCTGTCCTGCCCTGCCCTGCCCTGCTCTATTCTATTCTATTCTATTCTATTCTATTCTATTCTATTCTATTCTATTCTATTCTATTCTATTCTATTCTATTCCATTCCATTCCATTCCATTCCATTCCATTCCATTCTACGCTACGCTACTCTCATGCTAGCTCTGGTAGACCTAGTCCCCTGTTCCGTTTAATATAAATATAAAAGAGTACTAGTACTTGCCTTTATAAAGCCCTAGTAAGACCACACTTAGAATACTGCATCCAATTTTGGTCACCCAGATACAAAAAAGATGTTGAGATTTTGGAAAGAGTGCAGAGAAGAGCAACAAAGATGATTAGGAGCCTAGAAGCTATAACATATGAAGAACGATTGCAGGAACTGGGTATGTCTAGTCTAGTGAAAAGAAGGACCAGAGGGTGACATGATAGCAATCTTCCAATACTTAACTAATCAAGGAGAGAAGCAACCTGGAATTGAGAAACTTCCTGTGAGGACAATTAACCAGTGGAACAGCTGGCCTTCAGATGTTGTAGATGCTTCATTACTATTTGCTTTTAAGAAGAGACTGCACAGCCACTTGTCTGAAATGGTATAAGGTCTCCTCCTTGAGCAGGTGGTTGGACTAGAGGACCTCCAAGGTCCCTTCCAGCTCTATTCTGATTGATTGATCGATTGATTGAATCAATGGAATGAGTTGCCTCCAGAAGTTGTGGGTGCTCCATCACTGGAGGCTTTTAAGAAGAGATTGGACAACCATTTGTCTGAAACGGTATAGGTCTCCTGTGGGAGCAAGAGGTTGGACTAGAAGACCTCCAAGGTCCCTTCCAGCTCTGTTACTATTAGTACTGTCATTAAGAAAAGTCTTCACAGTTTCCTTGAACTATGAACTAAGAACCACGTAGCGGTTCCTTGATCCACTACAACAAGAACATCCTACAGTTGGGAAGATTTCAAGACAGGATGGCTTGAAAGGATTGATTCCTTGCAGGTTCTCTCAACTCTTAGAGGCCCCAGATCCAAAGTTGGCTACCTCAGCCTTACAAACCACCACCTTCCTTTTAGCAACCATCTGACCAGATTTGGCAGAAGGAAACTTGGCATCAGCCTCTCACCAAGCGCATCCTGTTTCAGGCGTGATTCTCACCACCTTTCAAATGAGGTTTCTTGAGAAGAACGCAGTGAGGTGACAGGAAGTAGGGCAACTCAACTTTTCTCTTCCTTCCAAAAAAGGCAATATATTCCCAAAGAAGATAAGGCAGAGACACCTTTAATTTCCTGGACTAGAAGACCTCCAGGGTCCCTTCCAGCTATTCCGATTCTGATTCCTTTTAACAGCCTTGGGATTCAATGTTTGGAAATGTGACTTTTGAGCGTTTTTCACATTTTATCGATCGTTGCGGCATTGCCGTGCTCCTGCGATCAAAATTTGGACTCTTGGATCCTAAAAAGTTATCTTGTATGTATCCTAATTTACAGCCCAAGTGTTGGAGGTGTGGTAGTCTTGATGCAACTTTTTTTTCATATTTGGTGGACTTGTAAAAATATTAAGGCTTTCTGGATTATGATTTGGTGGAACATTCAAAAGATTTTCAAAAGGAAGACAAAGTTTACTCCTCAACTATTTTTATTAGGGATTTTTGAGGATTTTGATGTTAAACATACTGTTTTAATGTTGAATTTAATTACAGCAGCAAGGTTATTGATAGGTCAATATTGGAAGAAAGATTCGTTGCTTACATTAAGAAGAATGGACATTTAAGGTTTCTAACTTAGCAGAAAATTTCTGCTTATTTAAAGGATCATACTCAAGAAAGATATATTATAGAATGGAGAAGATGGATAGATTATATTAAGATTAAATATGGAACTGAAAAGTTTCACTTATTTTAAGATTAAATAATAAGTATTATTAATAATATTTAAATTAAAATTTTCTTTTATTATATAATAATCAATTATAAATGGATTTGTTTATGATATGTTATTAAGGTTTAAAGGGAGTGAAGGTTTAAGTATGATTTTAATGATTGTATAAATTGTTAAACTTGTTTAGCCTATGATTAATATATTTGTTAATTTAATTAGATTATGTTTAATACGTTTGAAATACCCTGTATTTGGCTCCGGGAAGTCGGGGGGTGGGGGTTGGGGGGAGGGTAAATGGGTTCATTTTATTTTGTAATTTCTAATAAAACTTTTTGAATAAAAAAAAAAATTTGGACTCTTGGCGACTCATATTTATGACGGTTCCTGTGTCGCTAACCCTAACCCTTCTGACAAGCAAAAATCCACAGGGAAGGCAGACTCGTTTAATAACTGGGTTACTAATTGTGGTCGTAAGTCAAGGACCACCTGGATACAGGTCCATTGTTTTCGCCGTCCGGATGTTGCTGAAAACACGGCTTCTCCAGCGGGCCTTCGGATCTCCCACAATATGTGGTGCCACGCCTTAATTTTAGCTTGGAATTTTCATCCTCATGTAATTTTTATTTGTAACTCTCCATTCCGATAAACCAACTAGACCTCAGCTAATTTCAGGCAGCTGGGTAAATGTGACACCTAAATAAACAGGAAAATTTTGATTTTCCACCCAAGGGTGACATTCTATAAATCTCCCGTGAAGTTGTTCACCTGATTTACTTTCCTCGCTGAGAGAGGATTTAATGGCGGGTTGTTTAAAAACAACAGTCTTCTAAATCTTTATTTATTGGGGGGAGGGACCAATCCTGACAAAACACAGGTGGTCCTCGGCTTACAACCCCAACGGAGCCCAGCGTTGATGTCGCTAAGTGAGGAATTTGTTCAGGGAGTTTTGCCCCCTTTTTGACGGGCTTTCTCGACGCAGCTGCTAAGTCAATCACTGCGGTTGTGAAATTAGTCACACGGTTGTTAAGTGAATCTGGCTTCCCCATGGGTCACAAAAGGGGATCACACACCACCCCAGGAAGCTGCGACCGTCGTAAATATGAAGCAGTTGCCAAGCATCTGAATGTAAACCACCTGATCGTGGGGATGCTGCAACGGCTATAAGTGTGGAACATGGTCATAAGTAACATTTTTCACTGTCGTTGTAACTTCGGACAGTCACGAAATGGACTGTTGTAAGTCGAGGACTGCCTGTACAACTTTGTTTAGCCTTTTTTGACGCTGACTGTTCTTGATCACAGCAGATCCTGAAAAACTGGCTGAATTCACGTCCCCAAATATGGGGCAGGCAATCCATCAACTCAAAAGTCCTTAGAGCATTTGGTCTCTTACTCATCCCTGCTTGCTTAGCTCTAGTTAAATCTAGAGAGGACCAGCAACCACCCAGGTGGACTCTTAAGTTCTCCGCTCACGTCAAGAAGTCTTTATTTCCATTCAAAGTTGACTTGACAGTGTTTCCTTCTCGGTTCTTGGCCCAGGGGAGTAAAACCCCAACTTATCAAATTTATTCACGCAGTGTCAACAAAATGGTGTTTTTCTTTCCTTCTGGCTTGGTGGCTTTTCCTGCAAGGCCTTAGAAGGCCTTTCGCAAGCCGCATTCATCCCGGGGAAGGGCTGCCACTGCTTTCGCAGGAGACACCGTCAGTCGGATACGTCGGTCAGTTGAGGGAGCATTTTTCCATCCATCTTGGCAGCCATCCCAGGAGCTGATAGCTGAGGGGGAGCTTTGTCAGGCTGAGACTTGCCTCTGCACTTGACAACAAAACAAACTTTGTTGAGCCTCAGGATGGCCTCTCGTGAGGAGATATTTGCGTAGACCGCTGAGGAACGCTTGACGTTGGAGTTTTGGTAGTATTTATAGAATCAGGCCATGAATATCAGGTCTCGTGGCCTTCATTGATGGCTTAAGTGAGGTTGCGAAGTAGGTAAGTGACACCAAAGCCTGTTTGCGATCTGAACTTTTCCTGAATTTTGTAATGTCATTCATCTGTTACAGAAAGACACGTACCAATATAATTATGTTAGGGGAAAGATTCATGCAAAATTATTATTATTTTAATGAGAGCTGCCTGTAAAAATAACTACATCTTTCTTTCTTTCTTTCTTTCTTTCTTTCTTTCTTTCTTTCTTTCTTTCTTTCTTTCTTTCTTTCTTTCTTCCTTCCTTCCTTCCTTCCTTCCTTCCTTCCTTTTCCTTCCTCCCTTCCTCTTTCTTCCTTCCTTCCTTTCCTTTCCTTTCTCTCTCTCTCCTTCTCTCCCTCCCTCCCTCCTCCTCCTTCCTTCCTTCCTTCCTTCCTTCCTTCCTTCCTTCCTTCCTTCCTTCCTTCCTTCCTTCCTTCCTTCCTTTTCTCCTCCTCCTCCTCCTTTTTTCCCCCCCATCACTCTCTGAAGCAAAAATATTAAATACATCTTGGAATCATAAGAGTTAAGGAAAGAATTAAGGCCATCCCACCCTAATCCTGCTTAATGCCACAATTCAAATTAAAGCTTTCTGGTCTAGCTACCAGGCTCCCAATAATAACAGTGTGAAGTTATTCCTGGCAAGCAGTTTTTCTTCCTTTATTTTCACTCCCAAGGCCAAACCAGAAACATTATATATACCTCACACTTAACAATGCAGGCGTTAAGATTACATGAAGAAGGCGCCAGGCGATACATCTAAAACTTTGCCCGCCTGAAAGCAAAGCAGTGATCTTGTTGTGAAGAAAATTAAAATTTCTAGGAATTGGTGTTCTGACTGCTAATTGCCAGTGCAGATAAGGTGGAGACCTTGAGAGAACAGATGGATTCTCCTGTAATTTAGCCTGCTGTTTACTGTCTTATATTGTGAGGTTCTAGAATGGGGGTCTTCCAACTTGGCCCTTTGATGACTTGTGGACTTCAACTCCCAGAATTCGTCAGCCAGCGTGAGGAACTATGAGCCTTTTATGACTTGTGGACTTCAACTCCAAGAATTCATCAGCCAGCGTGAGGGAATTATGACCCATTGATGACTTCTGGACTTCAACTCCCAGAATTCCTCAGCCAGCGTGAGGGAACTACCACCCTTTGATGACTTGTGGATTTCAACTCCCAGAATTCTTCAGCCAGCGTGAGGGAACTATGACCCTTTTATGACTTGTGGACTTCAACTCCAAGAATTCCTCAGCCAGCGTGAGGGAACAATGAGCCTTTTATGACTTGTGAACTTCAACTCCCAGAATTTCTCAGCCAGCGTGAGGGAACTATGACCTTTTGATGACTTGTGGACTTCAACTCCCAGAATTCCTTACCCAGCGTGCCTGGCTGAGGAATTCTGGGAGTTGAAGTCCACAAGTCATCAAAGGGCCAAGTTGGAAGACCCCTGTTCTAGAGGACACCCATTCACAATTCTCTGCGTGGTGCCTTTGAAGTTCACCCAGTCATTTTGTCAAGACTACCAGTTGCCTCGGCCTCTCCTTGGAGGAGAGTAGATCAAGAACGGAATATCTGAAAATGTTCTTATTGGAAAACCACCACAACAGAGCCATCCCAAAGGGGCTTTTTCAAAAGGCAAGCTGGTTTCGTTTTTTTCTTGAAGATGCTTCGCTTCTCATCCAAGAAGCTTCTTCAGTTCAGAATTGAAGCGAAACATCTTCAAGGAAACACCCAGTTTGGTTGCCTTTGGAAAAAGCACCTTTGGGACATCCATGACTTGGAGGACTAAGCTTCTCCATAGACTTTCAAACAGTGTATTTGTTTATAGAAGCACGTGCAAACCACATTTTTTTTAGTTGGTTCACAGGAAGTTCATCTCTGTATGCCCTTTCGTCTTTGCCTTTGGGGGGATCAGATGCCAAGAAGGGGATTCAAAATTCAATATTCCCGATTGCTTAGAAAAAGGAACACGAATAGCCAGCAACTTGCTACGCAGAAGTAAGAAATCTCTGCTGAAAAGAAAAACCTCTTTTGCACACCTGGGCAAGATGGAGGAGAACCATTGCATTTAACTTTTGGACTTGCCTTAAAGAGAAAAAAACCTTAAACCCCAAAATAAAATCATGGCGATGGGCTGTGAATTAAAGAATCCCAAAGCTGAAGATTAAATTGAATTTATGGAACTGTGGAGGACTTGAGCAACGTCCAAACAATTGGAAGTTCTTTATCGTAGGAATTTTGCAGACACCTTGATAATGAGTTTATCTTGTGGCCATATTTTTCATCCTCAGCTGTATTGCCGGCATTTATTTTTTGCACTTCCTTTTCGATTCATTGGGCCATTTTCCGTGGCTTGCAAGTGAAAGTTTTAAAAGATTGATGCTCTCTCTTTGCAGTTTCCTTCCTGACTGACAGAGCTAAAAAACATTTGATTTCCTGCAAGATAACGGATTTTTGATCTTCTTCTTAGCGTTCAGCTCATCATTGGTTTCCCAGCGTTCTCTCTGGTTAGGCAAGGCTTAGATACTAAGGGATTAAAAACTGTACACCCACACGTACTTGGAAGATTGCTCAAGATGGTGCCTTTCATCTCACTCCCCCAAATTGTCACTCTTTCTCTGAAAAGGCCTCTTCTAAGAATTGATACCCTTCATTTATTCAATTCTAGATCTAGAGGGATCGGTCATGAGATTGGACGTCATGATGTAAAAAAGATGTTGAGGCTCTGGAAAGAGTGCAGAGAAGAGCAACAAAGAGGATCAGGGGACTGGAGGATAAAACATATAAAGGAACGGTTGCTGGAATTGGGTATATCTAGTTTAATGAAGAGAAGGACAAGGGTTGGCATGATAGCAGTCTTTCAATATTTGAGGGGCTGCCCCAAAGAAGAGGGAGTCAAACTGTTCTCCAAAGCACCTGAAGGCAGGACAAGAAGCAACGGATGGAAACTAATCAAGGAGAGAAGCAACCTAGAACTAAGGATGAATTTCCTGACAGTCAGAACAATTAATCAATGGAACAACCTTCCTCCAGAAGCAGTGAATGCTCCAACACTGGAAGTTTTTAAGAAGAGACTGGACAGCCATTTGTCTGAAATGGGATAGGGTTTCTTGTCTGAGCAGGGGGTTGGACTAGATGGCCTCCAAGGTCCCTTCCAACTCTGCCATTCTATTCTATTTGAATGTCTTCCCTGCTTCAGAAGTGATGGAGATGCTGATGGTGGTCTTGTTTGGACTTGCATATCCCATCCAATGTCATGATGTCACCACAACTGTGGGTTTATAATGTTCCGAAGGCAGAGGTGGTTTGACCCCTGGACATAATCTTAGTGGGGTTCTTGGCTATCATGTGTAGATCTCTGCTAAACTGTTTTTGCAAAATTCGATGCTGCACACTTTTTGGGGAAAGGTAATTTCTAAATTCCGTGTAGGAAAAGTCCGTTGGGTTTCTGTTTGTGCTGCAAGTGGAGGGAAGTGATTCTGTCACAAGTTTCCTCATAAGCATTTTAATCCTCGTAGCTCAGCTGTTCTTAACCTGTGGGTCGGGACCCCATTTGGGGTCGAATGACCATTTCACGGGGGTCGCCAAACAATGCAGTCCGCCATTTTCCCCCCTTTTCCTTAGCTGTGCTCCTCCCTTTTATTCTATTGGCTTTTGAAAGCCAATAGAATAGACTCTCTTGAATAGAGTCTAATTCTATTGGCTTTCCAAAGCAAATAGGAATTGTCCGGGCTGTCTCTGCCCTGCTCAGCCCGCCAAAAGCCCCAGTCTGCAAACAGTGCTGCACCAGTTGAGTAGTCCTCGACTTACGACCGGTTGAGTAGTCCTCGACTTACGACCGGTTGGGGGTCGTGGCATTAAAAAGGTTGAGAACCACTGTCGTAGCTGCTCATAACTGCAGAGGCACATGAAGTCCCGTGGAAAGATAAAGACAATCTTATGAGTTCAAAAATCACACTGGGCATGAATTTAGTAACAATATTTTTGCCGTTAAACAGTGCCACTGGAGAGGCATATCTATGCAACTTTGTCTTTCCAGATGTTTGGGACCTCCGTTCCCAGCAGTTCAACTAGTGTTATTGTCAATGCTGCAAATATTGTATATTCTTGCTTTTGACAATATGCAGAACTATCTGGTATTTATGGGGTTAATACAGAGCAGAAGGGGGGTTGGGGGTAAAGCCCGGGAAAGAAAGAGGAAGAAGACCTTTGACCTTCACACTAATTGGATAATGTGATATATGACGGCTAATTTAGGGAGGGAACATGCTGATAATTTAACTGCTCAGAGGAAGAGAACTTAGATCCTAGCATCCCTCCATTATGCCTGTGCGGACATTTTGCAACAATAAAAGACTTTTAGGAAAATAAATGCCTGGAAGTTCTTTGAAGTGTTTCATTAGCCAGAACCATAACAGTTATGACATTATGGGAATTGTCAGGCACAAAAGATCAGGTTCAATTAAACTGATTTCTTGCTACTCATAACTATACACAGGAACCTTGCAAACTCACAGTTAACAGCTGCTCGTAGTTAGTTAAATAAGGGTCCACAAAAATTCTAGGGAATTGGACTGGCTTTGCTTGTGGCTATGTAAGGATTCTAGGCTAATCCCTCTTTTGACTCCACCCCCCAGATTCTGTCAATGCTTCTCCTACAGTTGTAGCCCGAACCATCTGGAAAGCAGATCTTATCTCCCCTGTATTGCAACAGGTTTAGCTACAATCCCACTCTACAGTATTAAATGCATTTTTTTTTCCTTTTTAGGAAGTCCAACGTCTGAGTGCGGGAAAAGACCAGTCACGGTTGGAGAAATGTAAGTGTTACTTTCTTGTCAGGAACTTTTAGTTCAAGGAAGATTTCAGAGCTGATTTTAACATGATGTTGTTGTTGTTGCTTTCCCAACAGCCACCATGGGAGCTTCACCCAATTCAGATTTACCCAAGAAAAGTAAACCTGAGAAAGCACCATTTGCCCACCTTATAATTGATGGCCACAATATTCCATCTGGTAAGTTCATTTTCAAACATTTACCATGTTACCATACAGCTCAGAATGAGCGGCAAGACATTTGGCTGATTTACAGCTGGTGATGTCTGAAATGGGCAACTACACACACACACACACACACACACACACACACACACACACAAATTCCAATGATTACACTTTTAAAGAATTATACTTTGTGTATACAATTCGCTATACTTATTAGAATAGAACAGAACAGAATAGAATAGAAAATATGGAATAGAATAGAATAGAACAGAACATATGGATGGAATGGAATGGAATGGAATGGAATGGAATAGAATAGAATAGAATAGAATAGAATAGAATAGAATAGAATAGAATAGAATAGAATATATGGTTGGGATGGGATGGGATGGGATGGGATGGAACGGAACAGAACAGAACAGAATAGAATAGAAAATATAGAATAGAATAGAATAGAATAGAAGAAGGAGAGTAGAGTACAGTAAAATAGAATAGAATAGAATAGAATAGATGGATGGAATGGGACAGAACAGAGCAGAACAGAATAGAATAGAATAGAATAGATGGATGGAACAGAACAGAACAGAACAGAATAGAATAGAATAGGACAGCCCCTTGTCTGAAATGGTATAGGGTCTCCTGCTTGAGCAGGGAGTTGGACTAGAAGACCTCTAAGGTCCCTTCCAACTCTATTCCAATTGATCTATCAACTAGCCGCTAAGCGAGGATTATTTGTCATCCCCAAATAGGAAGCCCACATTTTATTCATTTTTTAAAAAGATATCTTTTCATCTTAGGCACCGGGAAAGTCAACCTGACGTGTTGGCATCATGACAAAGGCTGGGCCAACGTGCTGAATATGACCTTCAGCGACGGCCGACTCATAGCCAATCACGACGGCTTTTACTACCTGTACGCCAACGTCTGCTTCAGGCACCACGAGACGTTGGGAAACCTGACCGGGCAGATGCTGCAGCTGATGGTCTACGTCATCAAAACGGATGCCAAGAGGCGGAACTCCGTGGTTCTGATGAAAGGCGGAAGCACTAAGAATTGGTCGGGGGAATCCGAATTTCATTTCTTCTCAGTAAACGTGGGAGGTTTCTTCAAACTGAAGGCGGGAGAGATTGTGAGCATCCAGGTCTCCTATCCTTCCTTGCTGGACCACTCCCCGGAAGGAACTTATTTTGGAGCTTTTAAAATAAGAGATATCGATTGAAATTTGATTTTATTTTGAAAAAAAAGGGGGGAAGTGGTATTTATTCAGCTGGGTTAGATTATTGGAGAATGGAGTTACAGCTCGCGGGGTTCAGCTGTGTACAGGTAGTCCTTGACCTATGACCGCAATTGAGCCCATAATTTCTCATTGCTAAGCGAGACAGTTGTTCAGTGCCCCATTTTACGACCGTCCTTGCCAGAGTGGTTAAGTGAATCACTGCAGTAGTTAAGTCAATATTGTGGTTGGGAAGCGAATCTGACTTCCCCATTGTCAGAAGGTCGCCCAAGGGGATCACGTGACCCCGGGACACTGCAACTGTCATAAGTACATGCCAGTTGCCAAGGCTCTGAATTTTGATCGCGTGATCAAAATTTGGGTCATCGGTTGCTTTTTCAAAGGGGCCCTTTTAAAAGTGAAAAGTGCCATTATAGCTTCGGGCGGTTGCTAAATAAATTGGTTTAAGTCAAGGACTACCTCTTATCAATTCAATTTCCTGGGCTGTCTTACTGACAGCTGCCATTCAAAAAAAAAAAAAAATCTGCTCCTGAGGTTAGGACCGTCCAGCTAAAATATTTCATTTCAAGGTTTTTGGGGTGATTTTGGCCTGTGGACCAAAGAGGCTAACAGGACTATGAATGGGCCGTCCTGTCTGGAATGGCAGTTAAACCATGGCTTATAAAAAACACTTTGAAAAACTAAGCTGACTTTGGTGTCCTACAGGAACTCCAGAGTCGGATCCAGAAGACATTAGTAGCATGTAACTGCTATTAAAATCTGGAAAATAATAATAATAATAATAAGATCCCGCTGATTTTCACAAAAACGAACTTCTTGAAAAACTAAAAAAAGTTCCAAGCCCAGGGCGTTTCTGATTGGTTCCGGTGAATATTTCCACACAAACTCGCTTTGAGAATTGCACCGTTCATTTAGATTGACCCCTTGTGTGGTTTGTAAAGTGGGTTTTGCCCCTTTTTATGACTTTTCTTGCCACAATTGTGGCAGTGGTTAAATTACTAACCTGGTTGTTAAGTGAATTTGGCTTCCCCCATTGTTTTTGTGACACCCCCCACCAGGACACTGAAACTGTCCTAAGTACATGGCAGTTGCCGAGCCTCTGAATTTCGAGCATGTGACCATGGGGAATGCTGCAACGGTTGTAAATGGGAGAAAGGGTCCTCAGTCACTTTTTGTAACTTTGAACAGTCACTAAGCAAGCTGTTTTAAGTGGAAGACACCCTAGTTTGTTGTGCCTTACCAATTTTGTTTTATACTGTACTCAATAAAGCAACTTATGCACTGGTGCAACTTAGCCTTAACATTTTGTAATTAAAACATTGAGGGGAAAAAAAAAGAAAGTCTAAGTCAATTTAGGAAGGAATTTTAGAAGTTGTAAAATGGAACTGTCGCTTTCTAAATGACAAAACGTCTTATATTTCCCACCCCTCTTTTTTTTTTCTTCTGCTGGCGGAATTGCCCCTGAAGTATGTGTCTGTGCTTCGTCCCTTCCACGGGGGCCGACACGGAGTCGTAAGATGCTTTTTTTGTAGAGTTTCAGCACTGAATTTGTCCGATACCGTTTGTGTATCTGGGACACAATTCTACTGACTACAGTATAAAGGTGCTTTTCCTTTTTGGTGATGTGATATCAGCGGTAAAGATGGGTTTGTGGGATGCGTGAAAGGACAGAGAGTCTGAGAATTGATTCACAAAGGAGGTGGCTTAAAGCTGAGGTCTGTCTTTTGGGGACTCGGTCCATTGCATAGGAACACATGTTGACATTGAACCAATTTAGCCTGGATTAGATCAAATGTCTATGAAGATTCTCAGGCGTGTCTCACAGGTGCTTTTTCAAAAGGCATTAGTCATGAAGCTTCTTGGATGAGAAGTGAAACAGCTCCTCCTCCTCCTCCACCACCACCACCACCACCTCTTCTTCTTCTTCTTCTTCTTCTTCTTCTTCTTCTTCTTCTTCTTCTTCTTCTTCTTCTTCTTCTTCTTCTTCTTCTTCTTCTTCTTCTTCTTCCTTCTTCTTCTTCTTCTTCTTCTTCTTCTTCTTCTTCTTCTTCTTCTTCTTCTTCTTCTTCTTCTTCTTCTTCTTCTTCTCTTCCTCTTCCTCTTCCTCTTCCTCTTCCTCCTCTTCCTCTTCCTCTTCTCCTCCTCCTCCTCCTCCTCCTCCTCCTCCTCCTCCTCCTCCTCCTCCTCCTCCTTCCAAGCTTAGAGAGCACCAAGGATCCCACAATCCTCCTCCTCCTGGTTCTTGAGAATTGTTGAATTTTTCTGCATCCAGGCCTCTAAAAAACCCTCTTCCTTCCAGCTTTTTGACACTGAATATTTAAAATTAGCATTTTACATTAACTGACTAATGATTTCATGACTTATAGGCATGATTTGTCAAATTGTTCATTGAGGGCTGGTTCTTCGTTCTGCACTAACAACAACAACAACAACAACAAGAACTTGGAAGGGACCTTGGCTGTCCAGTCTCTTCTTAAAAACTTCCAGTGTTGGAACATTAACAACTTCTGGAGGCAGGTTGTTCCACTGGTTAATTGTTCCAACTGTCAGGAAGTTTCTCCTTAGTTCTAGGCTGCTTTGGAAACCAAAAGGCGCAAATCTGTTAATCAATTCTCAGCATTGTCTTGCCATGCCAGAACTTGCAAGGTCCTGTTTCCCCCCTCCCAAAAAAAAGGCAAAATGGATATTTTTATATTCTGTAAGATCAAGGTTATATTTCAGATGTAAGATTTTATGTGAAGAACCTCGTAATTTATGTTTGTCCTAAAGTATTTGATACGAAATATTTAAAATCTCAGTGTGTATAATGTATATGTATGTGTGTGTATATATATATATTGTTGGAAGTGTTTGTACAGAAATGGATTGACTGGTGCACTTTTAAAGCCCACGAGGGAAAAACTGCAGCTAAAATGATCGTTTGCTACTCGCAAATGTGACCTGTTTCTTGCCGTTGTATTAATTTAATCGCTTTTGGTTGATCTGATCAGTATTATTCAAAAGTCCAGGATCGCACATCACAATCTGACAACTGTGGATAGTTTTTAGATACCCTTATACCTTTAAGTTTTAACTCCAGCAATTTGTGCCAAGGTTTTTACAGGAAAAAGAACAGGGGAAAACCAGTTAAAAAAAATCAAAATGGCGACTTTGAAAGGAAGTTATAGCAATAATGTTGGTTTAGACAGCGCTCAATGATTATACTTGTTAAGTTATTGCTGTCTTTAAGCAAGGCACCTACACAATTCTGCCTCCCCCTGTTGCAGTTGTTATGCAGTGGGGGAGACCCTGGGTTGCTGAACAAACTGTCGTAAATTGAGGACTGTCTGTGTAATGGAAAAAGAAGCAACAGATCCAACAGATTTGTTAAGAGTATTTTATGCAATTATTCACAAAACAGTCATTTTACCGTACTATACATGCTGCAAATCTGCAAATGCTCTAAATGATTTGTATTTGGCTGTTCGTCTGTTTTGAAAACAACGTGTGTGTTTTTCTTTTCTTTTTTTACAATAAATACATAACGCCACATGTTACCATTATTTTATACTGTACAATGAGCACTGCTTCGGATTGTTATAACATTTTAAAAGAAATAAATACATTTCTAAGAAGCTGGAGTTTATGGTTTGCTGTTCTCCTTCCCACTTCCTTCCTCCGCCAAGGCAGTTATGAATAACGCTGCTAAAATTGCTAGGTAGGGGCAGCGGATAATGAAATAATTGGACGGGTGAACTTAGGGACCTTTCGCAAAGCCTCCAGAAGCAGTAAATGCTCCAACACTGGAAGTTTTTAAGAAGAGACTGGACAGCCATTTGTCCGAAATGGTGTAGGGTTTCCTGCCTGAGCAGGGGGTTGGACTAGATGACCTCCAAGGTCCCTTCCAACTTTACTACTATTACTATCTGAAACAGCCAGAACTAGTGCTTCTGTTTTCTTACTCAACTCCTCGTGAGATTCAACCAAAATATATTGAAATACGTAGACATGAAATTCCATCTTGCCCCTTTGGATCTCACCTACAGGGTGTGATTTTCATCTTTTGGAGAATAAAAGTCTATGGTTGAAATATATATATATATATATATATTAAAAACACGCATCATAATTAAGATTAACAAATTCTTTTTTTTGTAAGAATTTTTATTGGTTTTCCCCCCCATACATTCAGTAATAATTTTTCAACCAACATGCTGTCTGAGTTTACATTCACAAATACATATTTAATTCCTAATCCTTTATTCTTTCCTCAAGCCATCGATAAAATAAGTCCCAAGTTGGATAATATTCCGTTTCTTCTTTTTCTTTCAGTCTCATAGTCAGTCTGTCCATCTCTGCGCATTCTAGCATTTATTCATCTGATGGTACTCCTTCATTTTTCCAGTATTGCACAAATATAATTCTTGCCGCTGTTGTGACATGCAAAATCAGGTATAAGCTTTGTTTGTGAGTCTTTTCTAGCATTATACCTAATAAAAAAAGTTCAGGTTTAAAATCTACGTGTTCTCCCCACATCTTTTCCAGCCAGGCATGTATCTTTTTCCAACAACTTTTTACTTTGACACATGTCCATCAGACATGATAATAAGTGCCTGACTTATGTTTACATTTCCAACATCTATCTGACGTGTTTTTAAAACATTTTTTGCTAGTCTTGCTGGTGGCAAGTGCCATAAGGTTAACAAATTCTGTCGACAATTCAGGACAGACCACCCTTGATTGACAACCACAGTTGACCCCAACATTTCCGTCGCAAACTGATAAATTTATTAAGTGAGCTTTGCCCCACTTAATACGATCTTCCTTGCCTCTGCAGTTGATAAGTAAGCAAAACGGTTGTTAGGTGAACCCCCCGTTGATTTCACTGGTCACAAGGTCGCAAAATGGGACCGCATGATCCCCGGGACATGCAACTGTCATAAGTACATGTCAGTTTCCAAGCGTCTGAACCCTGCAACGGTCGTAAGTGTGAAAAAAATGGTCCTTTTTTCCCAGTGGTGTTGGTAACTTCAAACCGTCACTGTTGTAATTTGAGGACTGCCTGTGTTAGCTCTTTGGGGATCGAACAATTTGGGAATCAGAGCTGCAGAAAGTTGAGAATCGACATAGACAGCTTGGATGTGCAGAGAAACATTTTTATATTTTATATATGCATTTTTTATAAGAAGAACTAAAAGTCTCCATGTGTCTACCCTTGAAAAATATCCAGAAGCTTCGTTTCGTTCGAAATGGGGCTGCCTGCCTGGTTTTGTGCAAGCCTAGATTTGCAGATGGAGGGTTTTTTTTTTTTTTTGGGTTCAATCTGGAGGTGTTTTCTTAATTGAGCTAGATTTTAATCAAGTATAGCCACAGCGCTGAACAGCCAGCCTCAGGAAGTTCCTTAGTTCCTGGAAATGAGCTTTGTGGGTGGATCTCTTAATGATTTCTTGGTGCCTGTTATGTTCTTTCTGATCTGGTTGCTGTTTTCTAATAAGCTGTTTTTCCGTATGGTTTTTGTCACAATTCCTTTTCATGCTTGCGTGCTCTCAGCAGTCGTGATGCTTCCAGTCTGTCATTAGGAGCAAGACTAATGTAGGATTATTGAACGAAAAGTTTATAGATGCAAAAGGTAAAGTTCTCTAGAAGTTTCAAATTCGAGAGTTTTCAAATTCTGTCTTTCATCTGTCGTCTCTGTCAGCTACCATCTGCTTTCTGTCACCTCCCTCCCTCTCTTCCTTATTCCATATTTCGTTCCTTCCTTCCTTCTCTTTCCTTCTCTTTCTTCCATCTCGATCCTTCCTTCCTTCCTTTCTTCCTTCCCTCCTTCCTTCCTTCTCTTTCTTCCATCTCGATCCTTCCTTCCCCTCCCTCCCTTCCTTCCTTCTTTCCTGCCATCTCGATCCTTCCTTCCTTCTTTCCTTCCTTCTTTCCTTCTCTTTCTTCCATCTCGATCCTTCCTTCCTTCCTTTCTTCCTTCCTTCCCTCCTTCCTTCCTTCTCTTTCTTCTCTTTCTTCCATCTCAATCCTTCCTTCCCCTCCCTCCCTCCCTTCCTTCCTTCTTTCCTGCCATCTTGATCCTTCCTTCCTTCCTTCTTTCCTTCCTTCTTTCCTTCTCTTTCTTCCATCTCGATCCTTCCTTCCTTCCCCTCCCTCCCTCCCTCCCTTTCTTCCTTCCTTCCTTCCTTCTTTCCTGCCATCTTGATCCTTCCTTCCTTCTTTCTTTCCTTCCTTCCTTCTTTCCTTCCTTCTTTCCTCTTTCTTCCATCTCGATCCTTCCTTCCTTCCTTTCTTATTTCCTTCTCTTTCCTTCTCTTTCTTCCATCTCAATCCTTCCTTCC